AGCGGCGGACCCTCAACCCGGCGGTGGTGGCTCCTTAACCCGGCGGCGGCCGATCCTCAACGCGGCCTGACTGCACGCGAACGGCGCCGATTCTCCTCGAACCAGCGGCGTCGACTGAGGACGGCGACGATTCAGGATCTGCTATCGATGGCGGCGGCGACTCCTCCAAGCGGCGGCGGCTCCTTCTGCCGCTACTCCTGTGTGCGACGGTCTATAGCAAACCGCGGCAGAGATCTGCGAGCTCGACGGCGGAAACACACAGCAGCGACGTCAGCGATCTTCCTCGCCCCGGTTCAAGACCCAGCGGCGAACTCGACAGCGACTGGGTTAGCGACGATTCTCAGCGGCTTCCCCTGTGCTCCCTCTGCCCTCCGGCGACTGTGCACAGATCCAAGAACTCTGGGTGACAACTAGCAATTTGTGTTTGTGTTGAACAAACTATGCTCCGATACCACTTGTTGGGAATTAAACACACAACACACACAGATATCTGCGAGAATCAAGAGAGAAACGGAACACAAACGACACACAAGAATTTAACGTGGTTCGGTTTCCCTAATCCACGGCTACAACAGGAGGATTTTCTTATTTCACTTGTGGTGTCGATTACAAGTACAAGTATGCAATATATATATGAAGAGTGCATCTAGGGTTTCGTAAAATGGGCCGGGCCAAAAGTCAAGCCCAAGCCTCCACAAACCCAACAATATCAAGGATTGCGCTTCAAGATCTTGTCAAATATTTCGACCTTCCAATTACAGAAGCTTCAAGAAGCCTGAAGATTGGACTGACTGTACTTAAGAAGAAGTGTAGGGAATTCGGTATCCCTCGGTGGCCCCACAGAAAGATCAAATCTCTCGATAGACTCATTGTAGATCTCCGGGTATATACATTGTTAATCCATCCACGTTACGGTATAAAGAGCTTTTTATGAACCTCTAAACATCCGTTTAAGCTTCTTGATTGGGTTGTTTCCTTGTGACACCAGATAAATATGAAATTACAAAATTCATTAATCGTGTGAATTGTAGGAAGAGACGCAACAACAAAATGATGGCGAGGATACAATGATGGTGGTGTCAACAAAGAAGAGAATGGTAGAGTTCGAAAGGGAAAGGATAGAGAAGAAGCCATATATGGATAATGGACATACAAGAAGAAACCAAAATAAAAGGTTTAGACAAGGCGTTTTCAAATTGGTCTATAGTCTATATACATACATACAAGTCTTAGGAGCTGAGTGCACAGTTTATTATCACTCATTATTTGTATACATTTATTCTGAACTAATAAATTCCCATCCATATATATACAAAGGGAAATGATACTCGACTTCCGCGAGATCAATCGGCAAAGAGGGAGAGAAGAAACCTTGACGCGGCTGAGATAACCACGAAGGCAGAAAGGTTGGGGAAATTAGGGTTTTGGGGAATAAAAGTTGGTTATTATTAATGATAAGGGTTCGTCCCTTTAAATAGAGTTTCCCCATTCCTAATTAATCTAATTTTCTACCCTGTCGGTTCAAGAAAAGCATCGAGGTAAAGAACCGAAAAGAAACCCTCGAAGGAGCTTATAACCCGCTCACCTAGAAAAATCTACGTTACAAAATATTAATAAAATATTAAACATAATCTCGGTATCGTCGGGGTGGCCCGACGTTCCTCCTTGGTCGTACGGTTGCTGGGTCACCACTTGGTTCCCTATCCTCCTCATGTACGGTATCAACTCCCCCGCCCACAGAAATCGCCTTGTCCTCAAGGCGAAGATCGGGATAGTGTTGTTGGAGAGCTGATGCCGGTTCCCACGTAGCATCAGTATCGGTGCCATCGGACCAACGAACTAGCCACTGCTCCTGAGCAACCCCATCCACCAGCACGGAGCGCCTATCCAACACAGCCGTAGGGACCGAAACTGGTCGCCTTTTAAAGAAAGCAGCCGGCAGAGCAGAGGTGGGGATGGGTTGATCTCGCTGGATAAACGGCCGGAGTAGGGAGACGTGAAAAACGTCATGGATTTGACTCCCCTCCGGCAATTGCAGCAGGGCCAACCTGTTCTATCACTTTGAAGGGCCCATAAAATCGTCGAGAAAGCTTGGTGGAGAGCGGCCGAGCGACGGAGTGTTGCCGATATGGTTGAAGCTTCAACAGAACCAAATCACCCACGCTATAGGACACCTCCCGCCGATGCTGGTTCGCCCTGGACCGCATGCGTTGCTGCATTTTAGACAAATGGAGTTTTAAATCTTCAAGCAGTGCTGCCCGTTCCTTAAGCATGTCCTCCACGCTGGCTACTCGGGAATTGACCGGCATAGTCGCAAATATCGTCGGGGGGGTGCGACCATATAACGCTTGAAACGGGGACATGCCAATCCCTTCATGATGACTACAGTTAAGTGCCAATTCTGCCCAAGGAAGCAAAGCGGCCCATCGTGCCGGGCGTTCATTTGTAAAGGCACGGAGATATTGTTCCAAGGTCCGATTGACGACCTCGGTCTGCCCATCCGTCTGAGGATGATATGCTGTACTATACTTCAACGAAGACCCACTCAAGCGCAGTAACTCCCTCCAAAAAAGACTCAAAAATATGGGGTCGCGATCGGAAATGATATCCCCCGGAAAGCCGTGATGTTTCACCACTATGTCAACAAACAACTGCGTGGCTTTAGGGGCATCGAAGCCTGCGGCCAATGGCCCGAAATGAGTGTATTTGGACAGCCTGTCAACCACAACCATGATAGCCGAGAAGCCGCGAGACGGTGGAAGACCCGTTACGAAATCCATGGAAGCGGAGTCCCATACCTGCTCCGGAATGGGTAGGGGCTGCAGTAGTCCCGCGGGCTTGCGGGTGGAATACTTAGTGGCCTGACATGCAGGACACGATGCCACAAAGGCGCGCACCTCGCGTCGGAGACCCGGCCAGTAAAAGACATCGGCGATACGGCGGAAGGTTCGATCAACCCCCTGATGACCCGCCACTGGAGTACCATGAAATTCATGCAGAATCTGATTTCTCAAGGGTGAAGAGGGGCTGATATACAGACGCCGCTTATAGTAAAGGATGCCGGAATTCGAACTAATATCGGGAGGAGCCGTACCATTCACAACAGCCGCATGCCGGTCCTTTAGATCGGGTAGTGTATCATTCTCCTTCCGAAGTTCATCCATGAGCAGTGGCACGGCTTGCACGCTCAAGGAGTGGAACATGGCGGTATCCCGCTCCTCTTCACGGCGAGACAGTGCGTCCGCAGCCCGGTTGGACGACCCCCGCTTGTACTCAATTCGAAATTTGTATCCCATCAGTTTTCGAATGTAAAATTGTTGATCTGGGGTTTGTATGACCTGCTGCAAGAGCTCCTTTAAACTGCGTTGGTCACTCCGAATGACGAACTCACGGCCCAGTAGGTATTGACGCCATTTTTGAATAGCTTCGACGATGGCGTAAAGTTCCTTATGATAAGTGGACGCCGCCCGACGCCGTGGTCTGAGCTTTTTGCTAAAGAATGCCACGGGATGACCCTGTTGCAATAATACGGCACCAATTCCTGTGTCCGATGCATCGGTCTCCAAATAAAAAGTTTGACGAAAATCCGGAAGCCGCAAAACCGGGGCCGTAGTCATGGCCTCTTTGAGGCGTTCAAAGCTGGTAGTTGCTGCGGGAGACCATAGGAAACTGTCCTTCTTCAATAGATCGGTTAATGGCGCCGCTATAATAGCGTACCCGGCCACGAATCGCCGATAGTATCCGGTGAGATCGAGGAACCCACGGAGTTGGGTCGCGGTAGAGGGCAGCGGCCAGGCAGTCATTGCAGCGATCTTCTCGGGGTCTGGCTTGAGTGTATCACTGGTAATGAGATGGCCCAGATATCCAATAGTCTTCTGACAGAAGGAACATTTACTCAGTTTTACAAAAAAGTGGTTCTCTTGAAGAGTGGCTAAAACAGTACGTAGATGTTCCGCATGAGCCGTGAGAGTGGGGCTATAAACCAATATATCGTCAAAGAAGACAATTACAAACTTGCGCAAATGCAAGCAGAAGAGTTGATTCATAGCCGCCTGAAAACTCGATGGAGCATTCGTCAGACCAAAGGGCATAACCAAAAATTCATAGTGGCCTTCATGGGTACGGAAGGCCGTCTTAAAGATATCCGAGTCATGCATCCGGATTTGATGGTACCCCGAGCGAAGATCCAATTTAGTGAACACCTCCGCTTGACCCAATTCATCAAAAAGTTCGTCTGCAGTCGGAATCGGGAAATGATCGGGTATGGTGGCGGCATTGAGGGCGCGGTAATCCACACAAAAACAAAACGTACCATCCTTTTTGCGGACAAGCAAAACGGGTGAAGAAAAAGAGCTCTGACTATGCCGAATGAGGCCGTGCTCCAACATCTCCCGCACTTGGCGTTCAATTTCGGCTTTCTGAAAGTATGGATATCGATAGGGACGAATGTTGACGGTCCGGCTGCCCTCAATCAGATGGATGCGATGATCCCATGCGCGGGGTGGTGGAAGGCCAGTAGATACCCCAAAAACATCCTGGTGGGCTGAGAGCACCTCCTGGATAATGGGCGGCAGATCCTTGGGCAGAAGAGTAGCTGTGGCAGGGTCTGGAGGTGGCGAAGAAGGAGCGGCTATGATCTCATAAAATTCCACCTTCTCTGCCGTGGATGCCAAGGAACACAAATGTCCATAAGAGATGGGTTTAGGCCCTGGGAGATCCCCACGAAGCGTGACAGTCTGCCCCTGCCAAAGGAATTCCATCGTCATCCGGCCGTAATCATGGGAAACACAACCGAGGGTTTGGAGCCACTGAATACCCAAGACGACGTCCGATCCATGCACTTCCAAGAGATAAAGATCGACGGGAAATAAGTGGCCTTGTAAGAGGAGAGGCGTCTGCGGACATGAGTAAGCGCAACGCAACGAATCACCGTTGCCGACATACACACGAAATGGGATGACGGGCTGGAGTACAAGGGCGAGGTGTTCCGCAACTTTGGGATGGATAAAGTTACGAGTACTACCACTGTCGAGGAGCACTTGCACTGGAGTATGGTTGACAGACCCCGCCAATTTGAGAGCCCGGGGACTAGGGCTGCCGGAGAGAGAATGGATACTTGAAATATCGGCGGTAATAAGAGCAGCCTCTCCCTCCAATGGGGTAGTGTCAGCCGGTACAGGTTCTTCCTCATCGTCTTCGGGACCCATGAGGACGAGAAAACGGTGTTTACAATTGTGCCCCGGAATCCACTTCTCGTCCGCTCAGCCTTTTCTACCGCTAATAAACGAACAACCGGCAGTGGGGGGTTGGTTGCCTTATCCGATGATCGGGCTGGAAACGGGGAGGGGCGTGCGGCTGTGGTCGGGGTGGGTAGCAGGCCGGCCGATGCTGGTGATGAGGACTGACCAGGGGAGAAACGTGTGGACCATGTACGACGAGGAAGAGATGCCACGGATTCCTGATGACACGCCGAAACCTCCCTGGCCAAGGCAAAGGTGGCGGGCAAGGTTGTTGGACCCCGTAGATTCACCTCCCGTTGTATCGGCTGTTTCAGCCCCGCAACATACATCGCAACTAGGGTTGCTTCGGGTACTCCGGTTACCTTATTAAGAAGTGCTTCAAACGACGACTGATATTCCATCACTGATCCGGTTTGGGTGAGTTTAGAAAGCAAACCCACATAATTCTCATAATAGCTTGGATCAAAACGTTGATGAACAGCCGGTAAAAAGTCATCCCACGTTGCACCACAATTGTTGGCTTGGTAATAGTGGAACCATTCCGAGGCCGGATGGTCAATAAGCATGGCCGCGAGAGATAAACGTTCATACTCCGGTGTCATAAAATAATCAAAGTATTTCTGGATACGGAAGATCCAACCGGTGGGATCCTCTCCGTTGAATCGCGGCGCATCGACTCGCATCCGAGGTATAGGATCTGTAGTCCCCGTAGTCATGCGCGATGGAGGAGGCCGCCAACCCTGGTGCGGCGGTCGGCCAGGATGTCGCTGGTCCTCAGTACGAGTAGCGGACAGTTCAGTGACACGAACTTTTGTAGCATGAAGCTCCTTCCGTATGTCGTTAATGGCCGACATGACATCCTCCAACGTCAAAACATAATTGTTATCGGATGAAGCCATGAGAACGGCAATGAAAGCACCAGTTGATACTCGACTTCCGCGAGATCAATCGGCAAAGAGGGAGAGAAGAAACCTTGACGCGGCTGAGATAACCACGAAGGCAGAAAGGTTGGGGAAATTAGGGTTTTGGGGAATAAAAGTTGGTTATTATTAATGATAAGGGTTCGTCCCTTTAAATAGAGTTTCCCCATTCCTAATTAATCTAATTTTCTACCCTGTCGGTTCAAGAAAAGCATCGAGGTAAAGAACCGAAAAGAAACCCTCGAAGGAGCTTATAACCCGCTCACCTAGAAAAATCTACGTTACAAAATATTAATAAAATATTAAACATAATCTCGGTATCGTCGGGGTGGCCCGACGTTCCTCCTTGGTCGTACGGTTGCTGGGTCACCACTTGGTTCCCTATCCTCCTCATGTACGGTATCAGGAAAGGAGAGTGTAGTGTACATTCAAAGCTCAACATGATGGGTATTAGTTCTCGCGTCGGGAGGCATTTCGTCCTAATAATAATAAACACTTGTTGTGGGTGTTGGCAGGCGGTCTACTACTATTGCTACTACTACTACAAGCCCGCCATAATGGAGAGTCTTGTGTCCAAGAAGAGCGACTGGCTCTACTACATATCATCATGGCATACATGAAATCATTCGATCAACAGAATGACAGCATATGGTCCCACTTTGACAGAGGACATAGATACAATTGTTGTGCTTGGGATATGGTTGGGTGCAATCCATTGACCGGACGTGTAAACGAGCTTAACCTTGGCTCATTGGTGTCGAGGAGGCCGGCGTGATGGTGCCCCTAATAATTTTTTGTTCAACGTGACACTCTTTCGGCCTTTTAGTCAGCTGACGAGCCTCGATTTGTCGGGGAATTACATCAATGGTTTGGTAGAAAGCGACGGTCGGTATTTACTACTACTCCATCTTCTCATTATCTTTATACACACACACACATATGGGATTTGGGATTGATTCCAGTGAGATGACATGCTTCGGTGAGATGATGCAAAGCTCACCACTGCCAACTGCAAAGCTCACCAAAGACAACTACAAAGCTCACCAAACTGTAAGGCAAAGCTCACCATATTTTTTCAACACTTTGAATTTTTTTTGAAAAAATAAAATCAAAGAAAAGGGTGCTGACTAGACTTTGACCATTGACCGCGACGTTTGACCATCGCTGCTCCGCCTCCGGTCGCCGGAATCCGCCGCCGCTGATCGGTGTTGCTATTTTATTTTTTATTAATTTTTAATTTTCAAAATTAAAAAAAAGGTGATTTTTGGTGTTGAGCTTTGCGTCATCTCACCGAAGCTTGTCATCTCAACATAAGGTGTCATCTCACTGGAGTCAATCCATATATATATATATATATATATATATATATATATATATATATATATATATATATATATATATATATATATATATATATATATATATATATATATATATATATATATATATATATATATATATAGGTTCTACGAGGCTTTCAACACTGAAGAACCTACAGCACCTGAGTTTAGATGGGAACCATCTTCAAATTGGATACTTTCATTTGGATGCTCTTATTTCTCTTAAGACCTTGAGTGCTGCAGGATGTTTTTGGAGCTTGTCCCCATCTGGTATTTGTTTGTTTGTTTTATGCCACGCCAAATTTTTTTTTAATGTTCCTAATAGGGGTTCTTTTGTTGGTATACAATTTTAAAAATATTTTTTTAAAAAATTAATATCAATTTATTTTTTAAATTTTACATAAGAGGTGACATGAATATATTATTTTAACAAATGATCAATTATCAATGAAAATGTATTTAAAAAATATAATATAGTTTGATTTGTGAATTGTGAATATTGAATGTAAAGCTTATCTGGAAACATAGAGTGTAAATATATTATATACATCGATACTTGTTTAAAATTTTTAAATTTAGATGTTTAAAGATCGAAAAATATTTAAGATTGATATTTTATTGCTATATTAAGACATTATATATTTTTATGAAATACATTCCGATCTTAATATATCACACATAAATAATTACGGTGAGACTTGGGGTGACAATCAACATGATATGATAATTTACCACTTTCTCCGTCTTAGTTTAAATTGCATGTTTCCTTTATGATATTTGAGGAAGTTATTTTCAATGTAATATATTTAAAGATTATAGTAGAATTAAATACTAAATTTTACATATTAAAAAATTACATAGGAAACTCTATGAAACAAAAGGTGACATGACTATATTATTTTATCAAATGAGTAATAAAAATAAGAAAATGAAGTAAATGAAGTTTGATCATTTGAATAGTTAACGTGTAACTTAATTTGGATCAAAGGGGTACTTTGTACTAAAAAAGTCATTTATTTCCTTATAAACCAGTACTTAAAATAACATAAATAATATCTTAAGACAATTTTTTTATGACATCTAATACAACAATAAGTAGAAGGATATGGGGAGGGTGTGTATTTACCCTACTCGAAAGTAAAGAAGCTATTTTCTAAGAGATTTTTGACTCAGCGTCTAAAGTTGCGTTGCTTGGCTATAAAAAAGCATTTATGGTTTACAAATTCATTTTATTTTATTCCATCACATCCTAAACAAAAAAATAGTGAATTTTTTGCTGCATCGATGATGATGTATAGTTTATGACGTCCAACAAAGAAATATAATTATATATTACTTCCTCCGTCCCAAATTAAATTGCATTATTCATAGGGTCAAATTTTATTCACTCTTTTTCTCTAATTTTATTAGTCATTTGATAAAATAATATAGTTATATCACTACTAAATCTGTAGATCTTTTGATATAGTTTTTAAATATATAACTTTTATTTTTTAATTTTACATCATTTTTCATATAAAATGATTTGAAAATAACTTGAGTCAAACATTATAAATCGAAATAGGTAATGTAATTTGGGACGGAGGGAGTAATATTTGTTGTGAATATTTTTTGTCAAAGAATTTCATTTATTTACTTTATACTCCGAGTATTAAGGCTTGAAGTAAAAATTGATGTTATTATTATTCTCTTGGTAGTCACCTTATTAAAAAATACTATTGTTTTCTTAATACAAACACACAGACACACTATTAAAACTGATAGAGGAGAATTTTTCTTATTAATGTTTTTCTTCAATTAAGTGTCATTATATTTAATTAGTCAAATTAAGTATGTACATTATAGATTAATCATTTATTAAATTTATCTTATTTAACCTCTATTCAGGCCCTGTTCCGTTCAACTTATTTTTTTTTATTTTTTCTTATTCTTATTAAAATCAGATCAGATCGAATCAAATCAGATCAGATCAGAACAAATCAAATCAGATCAGATCCAATCAGATCAGATCAGACCAGTTCTAATCAGATCAGACTAGACCAGATCAGATCAGATCCCATAAAGAATTATTATTGTTGTTGTTGTTGTTATTGTTCTTATTATTATTATTATGATTATTATTATTATTATTACTATTATTATTATTATTATTATTCTTAAAAATGAAAAAGAATAAACTTTAGAAACAAGTTAAATAGAAAACTGAGAAATTAATCCTTAATTATTAGACGTTGAAAAAATTATTTTTAAAATACATTGACAATGTCAATCTAATTCTACTTTTAAAATACATTTTTATTGCTACCTGTAATTTGAGTTTCTAAAGTTTTGATCTTTTATAAAGATGCAATATTTTAATAAAAATACTATCTCTTCTCTGTATTGATTTTATATAAATTAAATATTTATTCTAATGTATGTATGAACTAATTATTAAAATATTAAATCAATATTCTTATTTCACAAACAATAATCATAAAATAAAAAATATTATTACATTAAAATATGAATGATTATTCTAATATATAAATTAACTAATTTTATTTTATTAAAAAATAATTATAAAATAAAAAAATATTGATTATATTATAATATGAATTATCATTACAATTTTCAAACGTTATTATAAACTCAAATCAAATTATTGATTTGAATTTTAAATCAAATCATAATTAATCAGATCNATATTTTAATAAAAATACTATCTCTTCTCTGTATTGATTTTATATAAATTAAATATTTATTCTAATGTATGTATGAACTAATTATTAAAATATTAAATCAATATTCTTATTTCACAAACAATAATCATAAAATAAAAAATATTATTACATTAAAATATGAATGATTATTCTAATATATAAATTAACTAATTTTATTTTATTAAAAAATAATTATAAAATAAAAAAATATTGATTATATTATAATATGAATTATCATTACAATTTTCAAACGTTATTATAAACTCAAATCAAATTATTGATTTGAATTTTAAATCAAATCATAAGTAATCAGATCAGATCCAATCAGATGAGATCTGATCAGAACTACAAAAAATCAGATCAGATCAGAAAAAATAAGTTGAACGGAACAGAGCCTCAATCTTTTGGGTTCACAAGTATAGTAGAATGTTAGTTTGAGGAAAATGAAAAATTTAGAAAAATTGAAAAGAGAGGGAAGAAACTACAAACAGTTAAGATGGAAAAGAATTTGAAAGGAATTGAAATAAATCTTATATTTTTAAAATTTCATATTTTTTAATTGGAAAAAAAATAAATCTAAATATGACTAAACCATTGAAATTATATTAAAAAAATGACATTCTAATTTTTTATCTCCAAAATAGGACTTGATAATTTCGTAATCCAACATAAATAAAAATTAAAAATGATCTCACAATATATCGAGTACTCCGTATTCAACTTTTCAGTCCCCTCTCCCTTCATGAGGTTGGTTTATTTATTTTGGAGGGTGTCCATTTAGTCATTTTCCTAAGAAGAAGAGGGGTTTTGTTTTCTTTTCTTGTGTTTGCAATACTAGCGGATCTAACACAGCTGCAAGAATTAAATTTGGGATTTGTGAATAGTAAATGTACAGTTTATCTGGAAATCGAGAGTGTAAATATATTATATACATTATACATGAATATTTGTTTAAATTTATTTAATTTAGATGTTTAAAGATCAAAACATATTTAAGATTGATATCTTATTGGTGTAATGAGACATTAATTATTTTTATGAAATACATTCCAATTATAAATAAATGATATAAAAATTTTATGTCTGATATGAAACTTTGTGTTAGTCAAAGATGTTGCAGGACTTGGCAAGTTGAAGAATCTTGAAGAATTGCATCTTAGAGAAAATTTGATCTATGGAGACATTGATTCATCATGTCTCCTCTGCAACTTGACCTCCCTCAGAGTTCTAGATCTTGCAATTAATAATTTCACGGGAAAGATAGCCTCTACACTTGCAAATCTTACATCCCTACAACACTTGGACCTCTTAGGCAACAACTTCGAAGACACAGTATTTCTGAGTTCTTTTGCCAACTTCTCAAAGCTTGAAAGTTTAGATCTATCAATAAATCGGCTACAAGTCCAAACAGAGAATTCATTGTGGCAACCCACTTTTCAGTTGCAAACCCCCTCCGTTTAGACGGTTGTAGTCTGAACAAACCAGTTGGAACTTTTCCTACGTTTTTGATGCATCAGTACAATCTGACTTACATTTCTCTGTCCGGTAATGACTTGGTCGGGACCTTCCCTACTTGGTTGTTAACCAATAACTCTCATCTTACATCTTTGTGGCTAAGCAACAACCAACTTACAGGACATCTCCAGTTTCCTTCCTATGCTAATTTTTCCTTATCTGAACTCGATGTTTCTAGTAACTACTTTGAAGGGAATATCCCCATTTCATTTCGCCATTTAAGAGATTTAGAACTTCTAGATTTATCACGCAATAACCTATCAGGAGCATTGCCAAGACAATTGCTCCGTTATTGTGGAGGCTTGGAGGTCGGTCTTGGATTTATCAGACAACCAACTAGAAGGGGACTTAGTTTCAGAGCATATTAACCAAACACACTTGTCCCTCCTAAAGCTAGGCAACAATATGTTTGGTGGGACAATCAAGGATGCACTCTTAGAGGCTTTGGGTAAATCACACTACTTGTTGTACTTTGATATCTCAAACAATAAGATAACTGGCCAGCTTCCTAGAGGGATCGGAAACTTGAGTAACTTGCGCATCTTATCAGCATCAAACAACTCAACTTACTGGAAGGCCTAATTCCAACAGAAATATGTAAACTTTCCAGGCTGAGCCACTTGGACATCTCTCAGAATAACTTTACGGGATCAATACCATCATGCTCCAATTCCTTGGATTTACAGTATATCCGTCTGGGCAAGAACCGCATCACAGGGCAAATACCGCATGAATTATCAAGCTGCTCGCTGCTAAAACTACTCGACCTGGGTGATAATCAACTTTCAGGCAATATTCCATCATGGATATACATGCTTTCCAACTTAACAGTGCTCTCGTTGAGAGGCAACAATCTTCGCGGCCCAATTCCACATCAGATGTGTCGGTCAGCATCTCTCAATCTATTACATCTATCTAGGAACAGGTGGTTATCAGGTGGTATACCGATATGCATTGGGAATATAACACTTGGGATGAGAATGTATGCTTATGACAACCTCAATTCGGGATTTGGTGAAACCTTTTTTGTATCTTTTTGGAAATATCAAAGTCCATTAAAAGTTGAGTTCCTTGTAAAGAACAATTATCTATCCTACACTGGTAGAAATTTTAGGCTTATGTCAGGATTTGATTTGTCTTGCAACAATCTCACTGGGGTCATTCCACCAGAGCTGGGAAACTTGATGCATGTCTATTCGATTAACTTGTCCCATAACTTCATATCTGGATCCATCCCAAACACCTTCTATAACTTGAAGCAGATCGAGAGCTTGGACCTCTCTTTCAACAACTTGAGCGGCACCGTCCCCCATCAACTCGTCGAGCTCAACTTCTTGGAGGTCTTTAATGTGTCCTACAACAACTTGACCGGAAGAACGCCCGATACAGGACAGTTTGCAAGCTTCGTTGAAAGCAGCTATCTCGGAAACCCGGGGCTCTGCTGCTCTGTAGTGAACAAATCTTGCACCCCTGATAATGAGATGCCTCCTCCTTCTAGTCCCAGTGAAGAAGATGATGGAGATTCCGGGATCATCGACATGGTAGACTTCCTCTGGAGTTTTGGCGTGTCCTCTATCATAATGTTCTTGGCAACAATGGCAGTCTTCAGAATCAACCCTCATTTGCTTAATTTTGTTGACAGGTATATTCTTTGGAGGTTGTGATTGCCAATGCCATACTTGTCTTTTGTATCTCAAAAGTGTTATATTTCTATGTCTAAGACTTTAATAGGTGTGCTTTGTATCTTGTTGCAGAATAACAAATTGAAATAATAAAATACTTCAACTCTCTATGATATGATTTTATGCTACAATCCATAGTCACATGATTCAATCTGGTTTCATTCAAATAATCTGTTTGGCTATCCAGACCTCAATGTATTGCACAGAAGAAAAGTAAGATTTGGTTGAATTTTTTTTTTCCGGCATTTTTCTAAGTGGAGGGGATGAGTGTTAGAGAGATTGGATTCATTTTTGGACTTAATTGAACAATATATAGCTCTCAAATAGAATACAATCATTAATATAAAGAAGGTAGGTAGGTTTTTTTTATGTACATATAAGTTAGCCAAAGTTTTTATAAGTTATTTGTAACTTATTAGTCAGATTTGGGTATACACATTGTCCCCGAACTTTACTCTTTGTGAGATCCAACTGTATTGTTATTTTTGTTGTTTGTCGTTGTAGTTAGTTGATGACATATTTTTTTTTTGTGTTTAAGCTATTTATAAATTTTTAAAAAAGCAAATCTAACCTACTTATTTTTAAGCTCATTTTTTTCTTTTTTGTCCTTTGACCAACTTGATACAAAACTATCTCTAATCGTTTATGAAAGATCCATCCCTCATTTTAGTCACTTTATTTTGTGAACAAATCTTGCACTCCAATAAACACGGACACAATGAAATATTAATTTTTAAGCTCACTTTTTTGTTTTTTATTTTGACCAAATTATTATAAAACTTTCTCTAATCATTTATGAAGGATTATTTCGTGAACAATTCTTGCACCCCAATAAACACCAACATAGCGAAATATCATCTACATTATTATTCTCATATTCAATAAATCACCTCTCCTACTGAAAATATTTATTACTACGTAGTTCATATTGTCACTTGATATAAATATTAGGAGAGAAAAAGATAACAATTTTTTGTTTATATATGGAGCATGTAATTTTTTTTAAATGGAGCAAGCACTCTTAAAAATGCATCACTTCAATTTTTCTCTTAAAGATTTACAAATCTTTATTCCATCATTAGACAGTTTAAGAATATGATACTCTCTACGTTTCGTACTCGATAGTTGATTACAATATTCACTATTTTAAAATCATGATAATTTTTTTATTTGTATATTTTTATTAATCATTTGATAAAATAAAATATTTTTGTCATCTCTTATTTTGTATTCCCTCCGTCCCCAATTATAATGTCTGTTTACTATTCACAAGGTCAAACTTCATTTACTTTCTTTCTCTATTTTCGTTAGTAATTTGATAAAATAAAGTACTATTATCACTATTAATTTTGTAGATCTTTTGATGTAGTATTTTAATATGTAATTTTTATTTTTTAAATATATACCATTTGTCATATAAAATGATTTGAAAATAATTTCAGTCAAACATCGCAAATCGAATCAGACGTTATGAAATGGGACGGAGGGAATACAATTTTTGATATTGTTTTCAAATATGCAAATTTAAAAAAAATAATTGGAGTGGCTCAGCAAACCGTCACAATGGACCACCGCAGTGTCGCTACTTCGGCAAGTGCAATGGCGGAAATTTTTGCCCCTCTACCTGCAATGGAGACACAGTGCGACAGGCCTGGGATGAAGAGCGGCACGGCCGATATGATCTCCCATAGCAAGTGCTCTAATTTTTATCGAGTTGATGATGTGGTCAAGAGTCGTGTAATGTTCCCAAATTAGCTTCACACTTTCCTTTTTAGTCCATCACAAAACTAAGCATTTGTTTCAAAGAAAAAAATGTGCAATTGTTTCTTTAAAAAAACAAAGCCATTCACACAATTTTGTTTCCTTGAAAAGACATGTCAAACATGTGGAAAACTAGTTTGGAGCTAAGTTGCAAGGAAACGTGAATGAGGTCGGGAACGAGAAAACAATACTTTTTTAAAATTTTACAATGTATGATGATAATGAGACATCTTCAAAATACCAAATAGGAACATTTAAGGGGCAGAATCTTTGCACCACTAGACCATTTTATGCCTAAGATCATTGAAGCTTTTGAAGAGTTGTGCCAATTGTACCATTCTATTGATGCAAAGATGTTAGATACAAATATATTTTTTCATCAGTAGATAATAAGCAAAGTAGTGTATGTTGTACATTGTTGAAATTCAAAGTGTAGGATTATTGTTCATTAATGAATAAATGAGATCTTTACAATTAAAAAAAACGCATATGAAAATGGGGTTTCAGAATATCAGCGCCTGGGTTGATGGAGACGTGGACGGTTGCAAAAAACACGACCATTGGCCTTCACAAAAGCAGCTATTCCTAAACTCATACCTCCCCAAATCATTGAAGACAAAAGGTTCCAAGGATCATTTCGAACTATGAACAAACAATGTTGTAGAAATCATCATCTTGAAAAGAAACTAGGAATGATAAGATGGAACTCTAATATCGTAAATCATGAGTCATGTTATAGTAACACTACGAATGACACCATGGTTGACCATTCGTGTCTCAAAGACAACACAGACAATGATTGTATGGAGTTGATGGTATCAACCTTGGTGTCATTGGTGGCATCAGAGAAGAATTATTATATGTATCCAATCCAATGATTGACAACTCACCTCGTCTTAGTGACAAGGCAGCAAAAAATAACCCGAGAATAATCAGTGCAAAAGCTAGCGGAAATGACTGCAATGCAACAATACAAACTGTTATATTCCTGTTATATACTTAGATTTCTTAGTCTTTTTTATACTCCATAGTCCACAATAATGGCAATAAATAGTCTCTTGTTATTCTCAAATGTTCTTTTCTTTCAATTTTAACCCCATTTTCCCTAGCATTTTCTAAGTTCCAAACGAATCCTACACCCCCACCCCACCCCCACCACAATAGGTTTCTGAAGATGACAAAAAATAAAATACTTACAGCAACAGCTTCAATGCCTGCCCTTTGAGATGTCTGCATAGGGTCTCGGGCAACAGAGACAATGTTATGCCCTTGCAATAAATCAATTGCATCCTTTGAAATGAAAAAAAAACTTAGAATTAGTAACCAATGGCGAAGCTATAAAGCTTTCTTATACATTAGGGGTCAAACGAACAGCAAGACACAATTCGCACAATTCTTATATGAACATAAAATCTCACACACATTAATCGAGATGAATAAAATCAAAAGTGGATGAAGAACACTTGGTTTTTACAGAAAGAAGACACACACAATAAATGTGGTAACATCTGATGGGTAAACTCTACAGCGGCAGAAATGTATATAGATGATTTCAACATGTAAGAATACACCCTATGAAATAGCACAGAGAAAAATAAAGGTTGAACCGCAAGAACAAGAATGTTTTAAAGTACATCAAGTATTATATGAGGCCCCACAACCTAGCTTTTGTAATTAACAAAAAATGTAGTGGGGGTGGGGATTAGGGCATATCTCCATACATATAAATATATAATCAAAACTCTCAGGCTTCCTTTATTACTGGGAACTCTTCATTCATGTCTATGGGTGTGTTCTATTTCCAACTGAAACTTAGGGTCCGTTTGGGAAGGAAGCAAATGACTTCAGGAAAATGACTTCTAGAAAATGACTTATTTTCTTTAAGCCCCGTTTGGTACACGGAATTCAAATTATGGAATTGGAATTGAGGACTTCAATTCCAATTCTTGTGTTTGGTAGCACAAAAATTATGTGGATTTGGAATTGGTAGTGCAAAAAATGAATTAGAATTGATGAATTCAATTCTATGGATTTGAATCTCATGAAATTTCAATTCCAATTCAATTCCAATTCCATCAATTCCGTGTACCAAACGGACCCTAAGTCATTTTCCTTTTCTGGTGTTTGGTAAAAAGTCTGAAAATTGTACTGTATATGTTTGTTTGGGAATTTAGGAAAATGAGAATTGGAAAAAGAAAAAAATCATCGCCAATCTTCAAGCCCAAAGACCATTCAGCATTCCAAAGCATCTCCAAACTTTATCAAAATTACTGCTCAATCCCCAATCTTCAAGCATTGTTGCATCCACCATTCCAGATTGCAAATTGCAAAGCTTCCGCAGCCTTGGGCATCGCTAATCGATGGAGGGAGGGGACGGAGGGCGGCTGCGACAATGGCAAAGTCAAGCACGAGGAGCGGAGAAAGGAGAAGGGACGGAGAAGAACAAAGGAAAATGACTTTCGGAGAAATTATCTGGAAGTCAAAATCCCTTTTTTTGGGCTCTATTTTCCCTTTGACTAACCTCCTTTTCCTCTGCCCTGCCAAACACTTAAAATATAGAAAATGACTTCCCCATGTCATATTCTGCTTTTCCGAACGGACCCCGGTTCAAGAAATTTGAAAGGGAAACGAAAAGAAAATGAAGTGGAAAATGGTTTTTCAAGTTTGGTTGGAGAGGAAAAGTGCTAAGAAAAAGAAAAGGAGGAGACAAATATACTAAGTGGAGGGAAAACCAAATTCGTCCCATATTGGTGAGGAAAATGAGAGAAAATCATTTTCTTTTCTTTTCCTTCCAAAATCCTTGAACCAAACATAGTTTTAAGGAATTTCTCGACAGGCGGAAATTCCAAGAGAAAGAAAGGGAAGAGTCAAGAGTCTCCCTCCTTATGTTTTAGACTTTTGGTTTTCTAAAGAATGTTCAATGTTTCTCTCTTCTGTATATTTGCATGTTTCCCTCATTGATAACATCAAGAATAATAAAGAAATTCTCCTTTGTTTGTTTGTCCTTCTATCATGGTATTAAAGCCAAATGTCCTTGGGACCTGTCTAGGATTAACTAAAGCCAACCGACGAATTTTGTCGTTCTTATGGCAGAAGCAAAAGGAGGATTACGAACGAGATGAGGACGTACGATCCGAGAAAACCAAAAGTCTAAAACATGAGGGAGACTCTCGACTCTTCCCTTCCTTTCTCTTGGAATTTCCGCCGGGTCAGCAAAATTGAATTCAAAATGGATAGAAGTTGAAGAGTTTCAAATGTAATTTAGAAAATATATTTATGTGTTGCACTAAACTGAAAAACAATTGAGAAGAACAAGTTTGCTCAATTTCCAAGAATAGGGTGACTATTTGACATTTCAAACTTGGTTACAATGTTACATCTAATTCTTAGGCCTTGTTTCGGAAACACGTTTCCAGTTAGTGTTTTAGATAATTTTTAATGCTAGAGATCAATTTTGACCCGGAT